ACGTACTGCTTCAAGTTCCCCTGACTGCCTCCGAAATTTCGGGGGTCATAATGCTCGCGGGATGTCCACTCACAGACATTGAATATGTGAACGATATTGCTCCTCTTGGTGCGGATCCTCCAAAAATCCAAATCGTTTTAAATAACCTAAATAATTCGGCCGCACGGTTCGGCATGTTCTTCCCACCTACAAAGTGCGAAGTGCCGATACAAAACCAGGCGAACCACTGGTGGATTAGTTTGTTCACCTAGACATTTTTGTAAGTTCCAATGGACTGGCTGGAGACAATATTACTTGTTGCATCGGACAGGCCAGCTCAGCTTTTTCGAATCCCCGATATCTGTGGCGCCGACGTAACCTCAGCTGGTCTGTCAAGGACAGGGTTTACACTGCGGTAGTGCGATCCGTGCTGGTTTGTGGATCAGAGATGTGGCCTTTACGCGCACAGGACACACGAAATCTGTCAGTTTCTTACCATCACTGTCTCCAGAGAGTTGGTGGGGTTTAATAAGGACATCGGATTGATAATGTTGAGGTACGCCGGATAGTCTTAGGAAGAAGAAATCCTCTCAAGATGGATGAATCTCTCTTGCTCCGTTCTCCGCTTGCCATAGGACAGCCTACCTCTTGGAGCTGTTTTTGCCCAGTCGTGTATTGATTGGAAGCGATCGAGGTGGACAATCTTTGATCTGGCAAATAAGTATGAAAACCATAACTAGTAAGCTCAGGCAGGTGGAAAACTCCCTCTTCCTAGATGAGGACTCCCGGATTCATTTCACTGATGGTTAATGGCGCTGTCAAGGATGACCCAGTCGCGCAGTCAGTGGCGCTGGTGCATCAAAGCTGTCGCCGTCAGTTAGTAGCTACCCAGTTCCCAAACTAACTGACCATGCCATCCAATGTTTGGTTGTATCTCTCACGCTGTTCCCCTTTCTGGTGATCAAAACTATAGCAGATAGAACCATTGTACCCATGGCATATGGTTTATTGCTGGTAAGTTGAATTGCTTTGATCAGCTCAGTGCCTTCCCGTCTCCAATAAGCAAAACTACACTGGCTCCAGGGAACGTTATTTGGCACGCGTTTTATGACGTCAGAAAGAAAGAAAGCGTTCAGCTGTAGCACCCTTCCGGTGCCTAGCTGCCATGCCACCCGAAGGAAGCACGAAGGCTGGGATACTGCCAGGTTGCCCAATCCTAGACAGGGGAAATCGAGTGGCGGAGGTCGGATTCGAACCACGGACCTTCCGTCAGTAAATTTGCGCTCTAACTACTTGAGCCATCTCGCTCGTCTGTGATGAAACTGAAGAACAGTTAGAGTATCTGAAGCTCATTTGGGTTCTTGTCCATCAGTGTCACAAATGCACTTGATGATTGCCACCTTGAACATTTTTCTGGTGAGGTCTTTGGCAGTGCAGCCGACATTTTGGTGTCGACAGGCATTCTGTGCTGTGGCTTGGTCCTACGCTGTAACATTACAGGGCACCGTCTTTCGAGCAACATGCTTTTTTGATGCCGCCTTCAAAGTGGCTCAAAACATGAGATGGACAGTATGCCACTGGGAAAAATGTTCGGGAAATATTTCAAACGCGTATTTTAGTACGGTCCAGCTTCCACTTAGCTATTCCCGTACGTCCACAAATTTGGCCGAAACGGCACTTGATTTCGATCTAAATAACTCCATCTGTCAAATCTGTCAAACTTTCAATGTTTTGTCTGAGTCAGATTTCGGAAGTATGGGGCCCTTCGACGGCTTTGCTTCGTCAGTTAGAGGCCTTCCTTTCTTCTTAATCCCGTTCTTATTTCACAGCTTCTTTCAGTAAATATCTTTAACCAATCGTAGGAAGTCAAACCTCTGTGTTAGGTGCCAGTGTTACTGCCAGCAATGCATCGTTAAATGTTGGATCTGCAGATCCTGTGTTGTTTATGCGGTCTGCGCTTGTTCCTGGGGATTCTGGAACTACTTTTCTACTCCCCCCGGAAATGACATATCAAAAGCAATCTGAATATCGAATTCCAGAATCAGAACATGGCAAATCGTGTATAAATTCGCTGACATGAAAACGGTTGGGTTCTTATTCGAGGACCAAAAAATAGAAAGGCTCGGTCTCACCTCTTGGATGGGAGTCCTCAAGTAAGACCCTCACCTTTACTATTTCTAATGTTTCCTCTTCAGAAGTGCTGATTTGCGGTTCGTGAAGGTTATATTGAAGCTCTTAGTTCGCTGTATTTTCCTCTAGATAGATCCTCATTTGCCGATCGATGGCCAAGGTCCATTCGATGTGATTCTTCATAAACTAAGTGATTTGGGCGACGAAGACCTTACCTTACATCATGAGTTGGAGGTTGGTCTATATTTCTCACTCTACTCCTCAGAGTTATGTATTCAGACACCCTGAAGTCATCTGCATCGATCCACTATCCTCAGTTTGCGCTTTGGCGGACCGATACGATCAGTGTCGTGTACTATCTTCTTCCCTGAATCAGTCCACTCTCGGTAAGCCGGCCGAGTTTTGATGTATAGATATGACTTCTTCCCTTTTTATTTGCTGGCCGGAGAAAGGTTATTGAATTAGTCCGTCTCGGTTTGTTGACCTAAAAAGCAAACCAGTACTACTTTTTTCACTACTCACAAGAATAATAACTGTGTGGAAGAAGGTCCCGTAGCCCAAAACACTTGTACGAGTGACATACAAAATCAACTAAGACATGGTACAGCCAACTGAATGAAAAAAAGGCGTACAGGGGAGGAAACAAATAGCATAAAAATCCAACAACAGAGGAGCATCTTGAGTGTTTCGGAAGCATATACGTGAGCTCGAGTCTCCCAAAATCACATGATTATATGATTTAGGCAAGACAGGAGTTGGAAGTTAATCCTAACAGCGGTTAGTCGTAAGCAACCGTACTCTGCTATTAGGGCAACACTACTTGGTCAGTGACTGAGCCTTTGTGAGAGCGGTACGAGGAAATGAGTTCAGAAGAGCTAGTGACGATACACAAGCAAAAAATGCGATCATGTTTTGGCGTGGCAGTTTGCAGCAGAGGGATAGATGTTTCTCACAACCTTTTTACCATTTGGTAGCGAAATTTTCGTAGGAGGAGTGCAAATTCGGCTGTTCAATATTCCACAGTGGGACGGAAATGGAAGTGTAAAAAAAGTTGTGGAAAAATATATTTACCAGAGTAAAAATCTCTCGGGTTGCATTTAACTCTACATGTTTTGGGCAACTGTGGTCGCTTGAAAATCAACAAGCGAGCAGTTGGAACAGAGTTGATGTCAATGAAGAATGGTAGTCTGACGGAATGAGGAAGGTAAATACGTGTGGAGTTGGTAGCGTTGAATGTAACTGATCCTAATTGTTTGGAAGAACGATGCCCATCGTGCTGATGGGGTGCATTCAGTTAAATTTTGTGTGACATCGGGCAGATTTTTGAGGATGAGTTAGGAATTTGGAGGGTTGTTTTGTCTGAGAAACTCGATTGCAACAGAAACAGGAGAAAGAAGATTATAGATAGATAAATATGCATAAGGCATAAAATTGAGAAGTACTTTTTCGGCCTCCAAGCGAGGGTGACAATTGTGACGGCGTACCTTATTCGAACGGTTTGCTATCTAGTCCGTACAGTGTCAGTGTAACGATGAAGTCGCGTTATTGAAAAATCGTTCAGTTCCAACACCTAATCGGCGCTTAGCTGTCATGCCACCCCAAGAAAGTACGAGGGCTGAGATGCTGTCAAATTGCACCAGCACAGTAGCATTCAAGATACCGAGTTGTGTGCGAACTAGTAATTTCGCTCCTTAACCACTTCGAGTTTGTACCATACTCTGGTGAAGTTCAGAGCAAATAATTATACGTATGATGCGTGCACAGACACTCCACTAGTAGGGCGATATACATTCGTTTCGAGTGAGGCTGATGTTCTCCGCGTCGCGTAGAAGTTGTTTGATCAAGATGGACTCAAACGTTTGGCAGAATAGGGCGACTAGACATGGGGTAATGATTGTTGGTATGAGGTGAAGAACTGTGCTAGAAGATGGGAGCAGATGAGAACTTTTACAAGAAGGGGAAAATAGCGGGCGGAAGTGAAGGCGAGTGGGGGAGAGTTCTGGGTCACAAATACAAGAATCGCTTACAATTACGTATTCCAAATGGATTGCAGAAGAGGGTTTGGAATGCTGGCGTATGTGTGATCGGTTTTTTCCAGCGAGACGAATGCCGTCATTAATAAAGCGTTCCAGAACTGGCTGTTTCGAGAAATGGGACATAACCAATAGAGTTCCGAGTACATGAGATTCTCGGCAAGATTTAAAATATACCGCATTTTCAAGAACAAGATCTGAATGATTGTGGCAGACCCCAACCATAGACCTAGAAAAAAACTTACAAGTTTAAAATGCGAATAAGTGATAACACGACAGACCAGCCGATAGGGAATAGGAGTTATCTTAATGTGATAGTCAGGTGGTCAGCATGAGGCCTAAGGCTTGCACAAAGTCACATGCAGTTCGGAAAGTAGATAGGAAACTTTGGGATTGAGCGTTATTGATTGGAAAAGTTCCCGTTTTGTGGCTGGCTGAGTCCGTTTTCGATTAGAAACCCATCCAGTTAGAGTTATGGACAGTGAGATAGTCACGATAAAGTCAGGTTGCAGGACTTATTCACACATGATACTCAGTGGGAAGAAAGGTTGAGCTGTCTTCTGCATTTGGTGATTTACATATGCGGCAAAATGCTTGTCCATCTGAGAAACGGCAATGTTTGGTTATAAGTAATAGAAATGAGTGAGTGACAGCCGAGATGGTGGTAGGAGGGCGGCAAGAGCAGTGGGTACCGGCGCGAAACAAACATTTGCAACAGAACCAATGGAGTAAGCAGAAAAAGTGGATATGAATAAGATCACTGCTACTCAATACCCCTGTTCCAATGAATAACGGGTGATCTTCTAGAGTAATTTTACTTTGCAGACCCCGTTATGCTGCTAAGCGGATTTCTGAGTTTGCGAAAAGAACATTATCCGTGTTTGGTTTTTTCGCCGAGAGGCATTCTGGTTCACGGTTTAATTACGCCTGTCAAAACAGCTTTAAAGACGGTATCTTCGGAGTTGTTATTCACAGTAGGGACTGGATGGGCACCACCGTAGATCTGGCAGGAAATTCAACCCGCGTTATTTATGAGCACCCTACCAACAACCCCATGGATTTCAAAACGATCTCTGCCGCTCCTTTATGTTTGCTTAACCTAACTGAACTCCACCCGGTCTGTTAGGCGTCTGCTCAGGCAAAGGCGGATAGGCGAGCCCAGCTGATTGGCAAGTAATGGAAGATGGAGGAAACTATTTGGATTTTGAATGTTCGGGAACTCACTTTCTGTGTTACACAACGCAAGACACAGTATACCGTTTGTTAATGAGCTAACCAAAGTGGTGCCTGAAATTTAATATACAAGCAGCAACCCCATATCCCTTCGGCTGATTGTTTTCAAAACAAATAAGTTTGGCATCTGTTGGTTTACCTGTATCTTCTATTCGGCTGGTTCGACTCGCGTTGTAATGTGTGGGTTTGGACCTTCCCACAGTCTCTGAAATACTCATGTGCTTTTGTGCCTCGAGATAACATCGTTCGCTGGGTTAGATATATTTCCTGCGTTCTTTAAAGTTGAATCTTCGTGTTTTACACTTACCTAATCCTTCAAACTAAGTTGAGAGAAAAGACGCATCTCAACAGAGACCAGAAAACATGTCCCAACCACCACGAACGGTTTAACCATACCGTAGCCCTCATTCCATCACAATGCGTCTGTCAGAGAGCTTCCGTGTTCGGTACTCATTTAGCTCGGTGGACGTCAAATATACGCCTCGGACAGTGCATGTGAAAACTGCTAAGATATCAGATTTTGTACCGGTATATGGTACAAAAACCTATACGGGGTCACCTTGTAGACGCGCACTGTAGTTTCCCATCGCTACCTCCGTCTTTCCATAGCCGTTTTTTCGAGTTCACCAAAAGCCACAATAGCAGCACAACTCGGAACTCGGTGGACGGCCACGTCAGCAGACAGTGTGCTTTTAAGTAAGAGAAGTCCGCACACAAACGTGAAAACTCCGTCTCTAACTCTGATGCGCAAAAGATGGTTGTGGACTCCACCGAGCGAAGGTACGTACATAGCGAAAATGTCCTGAGTATTGATGCAAATGGAACAGTCACAGCAATGAACTTCGGAGCTAGGCACTAGAATTTGTCATGTGTATGCGTTTCCTTTGAATGGCATAGCAGCTAGGCACCAAAGGGATGTTGCAGCTGAGTGGCTGTTTTTTTTGTGTATGTGTGTCCTCTTCCACCTTTCCTCTTTAATTTCGTCATTGGTTCGATCATGGAAGAGTCACTATCAGCCTCTAATGCCTGTGAGGTCGAAGTGCTCCCTGGGCGTCCGCTCACAGATGTCGAGTATGCAGACGACGTAGCTCTTCTTGGATCTGACCCTGTGATAATGCAAACAATATTAATTAATCTAAATCATTCTGCCTCGCGGTTCGGCATGCGCTTTACACCTGCAAAGCGCAAAGTGCTACTGCCAGACTGCGTGGGATCGAAGCCTAGCCTCGTGCTTGCCGATGAACCGATTGAGGTAGTAGGCAAATTTGTTTACCTGGGCAGCTGCATCACTCCCAGTGGTCTCACAAAAGATGATATTTCCATCCTGATTGGGAAGGTCAGAGAAGCTTTTGTGAACCTGTGTCACCTGTGGCGTAGGCGTGACATCAGCGTATCTTTCAAGGTCAAGTTTACAATGCTGCGGTGCGCTCCATATTACCATACGGATCAATAACCTGGCCGCTGCGCGCTGAGGACGTCAAAAAACTTTCAGTTTGACCATCGATGTCTTCAGAGCATTGCCAGAGTCTGGTGGGAACACGAGATAAACCATGCCGAAGTACGTCGAACGGTATTCGGAAGAACTAACTCACCCTCGATAAATGAACTGCATAGATTTCGCTGGCTTGGCCGTGTGTTCCGTATGCCAGTTGACCGAATCCCTCAAAGGGTTCTTCCCGCACAACCATGTGAAGGGTGGAAGCGAGCCAGAGGTGGCCAAACAATGACTTGGCAGTGAAGTATGGAAGCCATTACCAGCAAACTCAGCTGCGCTGGTCACTGCCGTCTTCCTGGATGGGGACCCCGAGACGGGCCACATCAGAGACATCTAGAGACATTATCAGACATGGCCCAGTGGTTCCCTCAACGGCGCTCGTGCATCCAAGCGAATGCCTTAAATGCACAGATGCCTTCCCAATTCCTCCACTTAACAGTCCACTGACAGTGCTGTATTTACACCGATTTATTAGCTCCTGCCCCCATGAGGAGCTACCTCCCCCACCTCCCTAAATAATCGGTAGACGAAACTTGCTACAACCTATTAGCTCCTGCCCCCATGAGGAGCTACCTCCCCCACCTCCCTAAATAATCGGTAGACGAAACTGTGGCTGCTACAACCACTGTACGACAAGTGCTTGGTTCTTACAATTGACAATGATGGTGATGAGTATGTGTTAACGGTGGTCGGCATGAGAATGCTGATTTCGGTCTGATGAGCCAGTCTCCTAACACTCTCCACTCCTAATACTGAATGGGCATCCATCAAGTCCGTATTTGAGCCACACACTAGAATCGTCGTTCACTCACAATGGTCGCTAGCTAGAGACCGCAAATAAATGGCGCAAGGATGCACCCCTGTTCCACACCTCTGAGGGTTTCAGAACTACTCGAATTCGATCCTTGATAATAATGCAACGTTTAAGCTTACATGGTGGAACGCGATTCCGAAAACATTGATCAGGATGTCGACCGCTTCTTCACATCTTCATGACTAGCGTCACGCACACCTCTGCAAACAGTGATGACTTTTTATGACATGCATAGGATGGATATGGATATGTTGAGTCTTCCACACAGACTTGTCCAACGGTAATGCCGCCGAAGCCTGTGAATATTCTTCGTGCCTTTTACTCCTACACCTTTGGCCTTGTAGTGGCTTAGAATCAGCCTTTCACGGTTAGTGGGGTTCGCTGGGACTCTCTTCTCTCTCATGGTTTACTCAGTTTTGTTGTTGATATCATGGATTGCGCTCTTCTACCTTACGAGCCGTGAATTTGGACAACGAAATCACTTCTGGACAGCCGCTAACGGACTGGGGTTACTTGGATTGCATTTTCTCACTATATAACGCAATGAACAGAACGTAGAAACTGTCTGCGTCCTGCGCCTTAAAATTTCACTTCTATTTCATTTGCTACTGAAGCTTCAAAAGTGTCTTAGTTTGTTGACATTTAACTTGACAGCTGCATAAGGTGTCACCACAATGTGACATTAAATCACACACTCATCACCAAGGCACCAGCAGTGTTCAGCGGATTGAGTCATCTTTGGCATCAGATGTGATTATCACTGAGGTTAAGTAACCATGCCTATAAAACAAATAGGAGAGGTAGACGGACCGTGACGTGGCAACGTAAAATGAAAGCCTCTATCAAAATGAGTGCTGTGGGATCCTTGCAAGCATAGCATATAACTGATTAAGTGGTAAGCTTGTCGCCACTTCCTAGCCGGAGTGCCTAACTGATGCAGTCTGTCGTATGCCGAGCTTTTTTGGAGTGAGATTGGCAAAGGATACGGGATAAAGTCCGCTGATGATGCTCAGTTGTGTTCATTTCGGTGGTTCTGGATAGTGTGGATAGGTTGCCGGTGACCATTTTACCTAGAGAAGTGATACTTTTCATCCATAACTAGGCCATTCTAAGTTCATGTTGTGTGGTACTTCGGTACTAGTTTCCAACACTGACTATTTGCCCTCCAAGTTTCGGTTACTGCTATTATCGTTTCAACATTTCAGTAGTTTTTGGGTCTAGTCTGGTCTTATCTCAGCCTCCGTTTAGGACAGTCTATCGGTATCAAGAGCAGCGTAACGTAAACTCCGTTTTCTGCCCGGGCTACCTTTCGATGTGATACACCTAAGTTACACCTCACTAAACTGGGGAGATTTAATCCACATGTGTTTCAGGGTCCGCACTTCCTGGTAAATTGAAGCCGCTTCCTCTCTTTGTTAATGGTTATTATATCCCTCCGCCTTATTCTGCAATTTTTCTGCGAACCGGTCTGTAGTGGCGGGATCTAATGTTCGTGTTCGTTGACGGCGTTGACGGAACTCGACTGAATTTAGCCGCCATTGCACTTTGGTGACAATTAGTTATTAGAAAACTTCATTCTCTTCCCCTTATTTGGTCGGTGTCGATTCGTCTTCTTGTCTTAGAAACTTTTTGTAATATCCACTCGCTATAATTCATGTGGATTCTGGTCAACTCTGTTTACATATCCGAGATACACTGAAGCATCTTCGTGTCTTGCAAAGGCTTTCACAGTTGGTAAGACTGTCTCAGGGTGATAGTCAGTGGAGTTCAGATTCAAAATACAAAGGAAATACATCGCGGTCATGAGACAAGGCACACGCTCTTGCCAGAGTGATCTGTGTTTTGAACTAACTCAACCTTTCAGGTAATCCTGTTCACGCAGGTGTAAATTGGGGCTGTGTTGGCTTTTATGCCCCCCTCCTTCTCGGCCTACATGGCAGCTTCGTTGTGGAAGTATGCATCAACTGAATGAAATCACTTTGTGTTTATAAAACCCTCTGCAGGTCAGACAGACCCACTTATTTGTCGGTTACCCACCGGGGTTAATACGCCATTCTCCACATGTACATACTCTAAACGAAGCAGGTGAGTCCAACCGTCTCTTGTTAATCTCCCAGTAGAATAGGAAATGGCTTACCCCACTTGGGTGGTTAGACTAAGACGGAGCAATCGATACACTTACACAATTTAGAATTTCAATACAAAGCCACATGATTTCATCCCACTTGTTCTGCACTTACTGTCTTGATTTTTTGTGCCGTTCTGTCGCAGCGGACACCGTATTTGTTCCAGGATTCTGCCTCGCAAAGCGGAATAGTACAGATGAGAATTTGAAGTTGATGCTCGAAAATGGCATTCGGTTTCCGCTGAGTACGTTGTATCCAGTATCCTGTCTAGTCCTTGTTGTTCTTAATTTTAACACTGAGGTCGTGTCACTTGTCATATCTATAATGTTTCTGCCAGGCGACCTCGTTTACTTTTTATTGATACACGAATAGACACTTCGCTGGGTAAAAAAAAACTAGATGGTCATCACGCGGCTCCGCACATTTCAAGTTATTTACAAGTGAATATTTTGTATACCCTTCACGAGATTTTACATGTGACACCTGTTCCCTCAGATTTAAGATGAAGACCCCTTTTCAGAAAGGCTTGGTTAACAATCGGTAGTTTTTACCAAGCCCTTCTGAAACCAAAAATCTGCCCAGCGGGTTTCAAGCGTGTGCCACACTACCTAACTGGGAAGTCCTGACTGGCGGGGCAGTCGATTGTCACAACCGGGACAGTTACTGGGTCGTCGTCCGATAAGTCGGGCACACCAATTAGATCGCTCAAGTGTGAACACGTTCGCCTGTTCAGACGTGATAATTCAAATGCGTCCAACGTGCGTTGGTGGAGTAGTGGTTACACGCTGGCCTCGCATATCAGATGTCCGGGGTTCAAATCCCGGCACGGCCATTGGATATGCACTGCTGATGAGCTCTAATAAGAGCGAAACTCGAGTCCAGTGCTTCCCTTTGGTGTGGACTCACCGGAATAATTACGCCAGAACAGGAACACGGCCGTTCAAACGAGAGTGGTGTGGCTATGAACAAACATACCTATCCCGCAAAACCCCAAAAATTGCAACTTCTCAATCAGTTCCAAACTTTTCCCAATTGATTGAAGATGAAGACCCGAAAAGTGCCACGGCTGAACGATTCGTCCTCTATGGCGAGCAAGTCCAAGTCACCTTTCTCAGTAACGTTCTGGCTACAAGCTCACCGTGTACACCTGACTTATTTAATGACCTCTGCATGTTTGGTCAACTAGGACGACCAGTTTGAGCCAGTAGTGGAAACAGCTAACGCAGACAAGACACGATTTCTCATCTGTTCTCTCACCTCACCTGATGGGATTTTGTCGCCGCATTATTCTAACCTAATCGCATTGTTTCTAATGGATCTAGAAACAATGTACATTTTCTTCTGTGTATCACATAGAGTAGTACTTCAATCCACAAACCTGTCGACCTGGATACTTTATGGCTCTTGTTTCTTTCTGAGGGGTCATCATAAATGGGGAATGGGTTTCGCTAGTTTGAACATTTTGGTTCCTTAGTCAAGCTACTTCCTCATCGAACAACGGTAGTAATCATATGGGTGTGAGACCAGGCCATCACCGCACGTGCCTCCCCACTTCAACAGTTAATCGATGTCAACTACATACATCGTTCTGGTTTCATTCGAACAAACCACACTATTCTCCAAAGGATCCAGCACTGGGCTGTATGTTCGAATACGATCTGAACTAAGTTCGGTAGTCTTAATCGAATTCCTCGCTAAAGGCATATTTTGGCCTGGTTATGACAATCAATGTGTACTTCTAGATTGTCATCTCTTGGATACCCAACCATGTGAATCGTGTCCTTCAGCCTCTTTCTCAATCTACATTGCAATGTCTTCACAAAATTCGCTAACCAGGTTGCATGAGTCAAATAATTGTGTCGCAGCCGTGCACGGGTGGATCATTCGATAAGTTACGATTACTTCTAGGGCAATGGAATGGCAATGGAAGGCGAACCATTCCATCCGAATACCGGGATGTAGTTATTTGTAGGTGCCAAGTATATGTACTAAGTTTGATCATCCCACTCGGTCGTATTGCGCAGTCAACTTCACGTACACTTTGACGAAAAGTGAGGCTAGGTGACAGGACGAGAGACCACAGTAATCTGTAGCTAAGTATTTGGTTGAAGTACACTAATGACATTTCGGTGTGCTCGAAAGACCACCGTCGCTGCCACCATCATTGTTGTCAGAACACCGTGGTGCTGAGCTGTCACAAGTGAACTGCATTCCTTCTTTAGCATGGTAAGATTGCAACAGTTCCCCATTGAAGCCTAACAATTCGCGACGTACACTTAGTCTTAAACGGTTAAATGACTGAATCCCAGCTGAATTTTTCGTCGATCCTATGATTCAGTGAGTCAAATTACCGGGTCGTTTGAAGCGTGCGCGAATGTGTCACTGATGTACATATGTGTTAACTGGCCTGTGTACACTGTTTGCTAACAGCATATCGCTCCTGACGAATCATGAGCCATTATGTGTTCAATTTGTTGGACACTACCGGCTCGTCGATTATGACTAAATTCGTGTAGAAAAAGCTTTTCATACTGGTCTTATTTGGCAGTCTGGCTGTGTAGGCTACAATGTTGCCGATCAATACTGAAACCTGAATGAGAGATTGGACTTGAAGTATACAAGCAAAACACCGTCCTATATACACAGTCGCCATGACATCGTAGCGTAATGTTTGAATAGTGAAATTCCTAGTGAACCCATTGGTTAACTCTCAGCTAGTGCATTCTCATTGGGATGAATTCACTGTCAGCTGCCTTGCTACTGCGTGTGACCCAAACGAAACTCGCAAATCGCCTGTGATTGAAGTAGGTTTCTGTCCAATTCCCTTGACTTAGTCCTGTTTCAGCTTGCGGTTAACAACTCCCTCATTCGTTCTTTTCTCCCCCATCACAGTTTGCAAACAGTTATCCACAGAAAGCGAACCAAACACCCGAAAGGTATGTTCACGTATCACTGGATCACGCTAAATCTGCGTACTGTAGCGTTCCACTAACAAGCCGTATCCTGCCGCAGGTCTTGTATGTATTAGTGGTATGATTAGAATTTGATGTTCGTTAATCCAGAGGCTTGAGAATTTCGTGTATTCCCGGGCGGCCAGGTAATTTTGCTGATCCATAATGATTTTCTCAACTGTTTATGAAAACTCGATAGATAATACGCTCATTCACGTAGTTTTAGCGTCAGATCCAAAAATTCAGCTCTTCATACAACCCAAATGTGCACTTATAACCTTCACACAAATCCCACTAGAAGTTGGATACCAAAATACCAAATTTCAAGTTACATATCTTCACAAAGGTATTTCATGTGGATGTAGAGCATATCCTGTTCAGCTAGTATGATTCCTGCTCGTTTCATGTTAACAGAACGGCGCGCAGCCGTCGATCCACGGAGGGCTATTCTGTAGTGTTTTCTCTTGGGAGGTGGGGTGCAGTGGTGACTAGCCTGGTGTTATCGTTTCAGCTATAGACCTCAGCACCATATCCCCATTCATCAGTCTTAACTTTAGTTATTCATTCATTTTGGTTCTGCAAACCAATGAACACATTATTCCTTTACCTTTCTTTGGCTTCATGCGCCTCAGAAAAGGCTGTTTTAATCCACCATTCATCTACTCCTGAATCGGTTTATTAAGTTCCCTACTTTTATATTTCGTCATGCACAAGATCTTACTTCTACTTATCCCTATCAATTCATTGGGTTACGTATATCATAATTCCGTTAGGGCTTTCGGTCCAATGAGGTTAGTATGGGGTCGGATGCTGTCAAATTGAAAAACATGGCAACCAAACTAGGCTCCATTGCTACTGTCTTGATTAAGTGCGATTACGCATGTAGTTCTTTCGACGAAACGAAGTTGTTTTGACCAAACGAAATGGCAGCATAATGACAATGTGAAGAAGATAACATTTGACGGACGACAAAGGGGTTATAGTGAGGGCAGACTGTAAGTGGCAACCTACGCTTGACCATGCCGAACCGTCAACGTTCTTCATTTCCACATCCGCAGATGGCTTTGGTCTTCAATGCTCGCGGATTAGAAGCGCTAAATTATCCTATTCTGCTCCAGCAATTCGTCAACCATGATGCCAGACTATTCAAGCTGTTCGTAATCGGCAAGTTTGTCCATATCCGGCTTCGTCCTTCTATACGAAATTTGTCACCGTCATCGAGTGAGTTCTGATCGATGTTATCTATTAGCAAGGTAGTGTGTGAATCGGCACGATGGGCGTGCACTTTAACCATGACGTGTGTTCTTTCCCTTATGAATATGTTGGTTTTCTTCGTGTTCGCACGTTCTAATACCATAAATGTACATGATCACTATGTATGTCAGCTACGCGGACCCATGGATCTGGGGCCATTCGAGTACAGACGATATTAAACAGTCTAAATAACTGCCCCACACATTCGCTTCACGCGTGCCAACCGTAGAGTGCCGGTGCAAGACTGAGTGGACTCAAACCCAATCTCGCGCTTGTGGATGAGTCGATTGATGTAGCAGACAAATTTTTGTACCTGAGCGGCCTTATCAATCCCGATTGTGCAGCCAAAGACGATATTCCTATCCAGACATGGTCGAGTCGCGTGCTCGTTAGCGCATATACATTCTTCAGTGCCTTCAGTTTATATCTTTCCCTCTCGCTCTCCCCAGTGAAAATTCACTGACACCCCTGTGTTGACGCATTAGTTATATCAGCTACCGCTTCCAGCGCGTAGCTATCCAACCCTAATTTCGCAAATCTTCAATGAACAAAACGGTGGCAGCTAACATCAAGCACGCTGTTTTCTAAGGTTTCAGAAGACGATGACGACGACGTGATTACCATCCTACGCGGCAATGCCGGCGTGGACGCCGCTACCAGACCAATTTTGTGCTATAAAGCCTTAAACTGAAAAAAAACAGATAGGTTAGGAACCTGAGACTAGTCTGCAATACGTACTCTGAGAAATCTTCTCTTCCAAGCACTCTTCTAGATAGTCCTGATTGAAGCAGACATCGTGAGAATCATTAACACTGGTTGACGACTGTCTTGCAACGTTTCCCGAAAGAATGTTCTCATGGGCGCCGTCATTTAAATGTATCAGTATGGTCAGAGCTGGATGTTCTGGGAACGGACCCAACCTGATCGTTCATTGCTCCCCGTTAGATTTGCTATCCAGATGATCTCTTCGTGGAAGGAAATTGGAGACCAAAGTATGTATCCGGTACTCCAATGAGGATAACACATCACTCGCTTTCCGTCTAGGGGGGCTGGTTCTAAAACCGTCGACATCGTGCTTCGTCAGCGAACGTTTGGATAAGATGTATTCTAGGGATCCTGTATGACTAAATTCCATATAAACTAGGAGTACTTACTCGGTCTAATTTAAACCGCAGGCTATATAGGTCTGCTCTTCCGGCTAGGTCAGCCTCAACAGAAGACTCCTTTTAAGACAATCCCTTTCTGATTTTGAGTATTGAGCACATATTCCTTTCCCATACAAATATAAAGCATAGCTATCGGTTGTGCGCGTTGCGCCCTGACGATGTCTCCTCTTGTGATAAGGAAAGGTTTGCAAGTTGATTGCCAGGTTAAGGGAACAGCTCAACTGCCACCCGATCAACAACTAATAAACTCATCCGAATTACCAATATTTCCACACATTCCCAACACAACTAGCAGTCATACGATGTTTCTTTTTCCATGCAGGTTTGTGACAGCCCACACAATGAAGTGATGCTACTTTTTTCACCAAATTCTGTGTCTGGCTGCACATCCTTCTTCTGCTCCTTGTCGTCCCGTTTTATGCCACGTGTTATTTGTCACCTTGCTACTGAATCAAATACCACCCGAGTCAAAGGCCCATTTGAGGTCGAAACATGATGTCCACCGTGGTTTCTTAGCTAACCTTACGCATTCCACCTTACGTAACACAGTTCAATCGGTGATTCAGGCGTTTCGGCACGAAATACGTGACAAACCCTCGAACCTTCAGGCACCAGTGTTGGTTGCCTATCAGAAACGCGAGTCCAAAACCTAAACACAGTTATCTAAGTGAGTTCAGTCCATTGAGTTCACCAGATAGTTCACTAGACCGGTTTAATGTTGCTGTGGTCAGACAGGCTGTTTCGACTGTTGCCGTCTGCTCTACGTGACAGACGTCCTGTAAACAATGAGCTTTGTTGTGTACCACATTGCGTAAAAAAAAGACAGATTCCACATGCACATAGACTGTTTGCAGAGCCGACGTCAAAGTTTTTTCGGACAACTAATCAACATCAACGAAAGATTCATCTGCGTTCCAGATGAGTGTCCCGTCAAAGCCACACTAGTATTCAAATGAGTGTATAAGTCGAAATTGATCAAACTGTTGCAAAAAGCGTACAGTACGCACATGATTATAGTGGCCGGGGACAGGGATATTCTTTTCGGGGGAGTAACTTAGGGAATCAGCATTCTGATGCAATTAACCGCAGCGAGAAATGTCTGTCAGGAATCATTC